ATGGGTTCATATCTCAACTTTCAGGGACTTTAAGTTGATTCTTCATTTTGCTGTTTTACTTTTTTTTCCTCCTAATCATTTCTTGTCTGTAAAATAAAGCTAAAGATTTTGTCAGAATGAGTAATCCACATATGTTGTTTTCATTTTTATCAATTGCATTTATTTCCTTTGATGAACTCACATCCTTAGCATGTTTTATTGGATTTACTTGCTGCCTCTAATTGTCTTTTTGTTGACTCCTTTTTTAATATATATTTTTTATTGTAAAGATACTGTACAGAGGAGTTATGGTTACATGAGCATTGTTACACCCTCCTATGTTTTTCCTCTACCATCCCTTTCTTGACTCTGTCTTTATAAGCATTTATTAAGGAAACACTTTATAACCCAGTCAACTGGTTAGCTACCTCAAGAAATGTTTGAAAGGGGCTGGGAAGGTGGCTCAGTGCAGTGGTAGAGCCCTTGCCTTGCATGCATGAGGCCCTGGGTTTGATTCCTCAGCACCACATAAGCCAAAAAGAAAAAAAAAGCCGGAAGTGGCGCTGTGGCTCAAGTGGTAGAGCACTAGCCTTGAGCTGAAGAGCTGAGGGACAGCGCCTAGGCCCAGAGTTCAGGCCTCATGACCGGACCCCCCCCCCCCCCAAAAAAAAAAAAAGAAATGTTTGAAAGAAGGCAGCTCAGTTTAGTTGATTGTTCCATGTGATGATGTCTTGTAAGTTACAGGAAGAGTTTTGGGTCCTATGAGGAGACTGAGTTTTCCACCTTATCCTTTGTTGGGTCTCCTTTTGTAGCATCATTATTTTGTTTTCGTTAATTCCCAGCACAATAGGTACACCGATCTGAAACTATGACTACAAAGGCAAACATGAATTATTTTTGGATTTCCATATTCTTCCTCCCTCTGATTTGTGTGGCTAATGTTGTGCTGGACTGTGTGTCTTAAATCATTTCCTGAATACAATTCATAACCAGTGAGGAGGGTGGGAAGGGAATGTATATCACCTTACACATTCTCTTGCTTTCAGTGCTAGTTGCCATATGGAGCTTATGATCATTTAATAAATGTACACAGAAGTAAAGCTTCCTAAATCATGCTACTCTATTAGCTTGTTTTCAGCTTAGATTTTTAGAATCCAAAAGTGCCTATTCATGAGATGGAGAACTTGTGTGTGTGTGTGTGTGTGTGTGTGTGTGTGTGTGTGTGTGTGTGTGTGAGTGTGAGTGTGAGTGTGTACATGCACGCGTGCATGTGCTGATCCTGGGACTTGAACTCAGGGCCTGGGCACTGTCCCTGAACTTTTCTGCTCAAGGATAGTGCTCTACTACCTCAGCTACAGCTCCACTTAGGGCTTTTTTGGTGCTGAGCTAGGCATAAGAGTCTCCTGGATGAGCTGGGAATGTGGCTTAGTGGTAGAGTGCTTGCCTATTATGCACGAAGCCCTGGGTTCAATTCCTCAGTACGACATACACAGAAAAAGCCAGAAGTAGTACTGTGGCTCAAGTGGTAAAATGCTAGCAAGGAGCAAAAGAAGCTCAGGGACAGTGCCAAGCCCAGATTTCAAGCCTCAGGACGGACAAAAAAAAAAAAAAATCTCATGGACTTTCTTGCCAGGGCTGGCTTTGAACTGTGATCTTCAGATCTCAGCTTCCTGAGTAGCTAGGATTACAGGCATGAGCCACTAGTCTGGCTGAGATTGAGAACTTTTTGTAGGTTTTTTTTTGTTGTTGTCAGTCGTGGGGCCTGAACTCTGGGCCTGGGTGCTGTCCCTCAGCTCTTCAGTTCAAGGCTAGCGCTCTATGACTTGAGCCACAGTATCACTTCCAGCTTTTTCTGCTTATGTGGTGCTGAGGAATCGAACCCAGGGCCTCATGAATGCAAGGCAAGCACTCTACCACTGAGCCACCTTCCCAGCCCTTTTTGTAGGTTTTTGAATGTAATGACTCCAAAAGTAAGACAAACATTAGTTGTAAATACTGACTCTCGAGCCATCTACACTTAAAAGGGAATGTTGATGAGAGCAGTGAGGGCAAGGAATAAACCTTGTTTGTGCCAGGTGCTGGTAGCTCATGCCTGTAGTCCTAGCTAATGAGGAGGTTGAGATTTGAGGACTGTGTTTCAAAGACAGCCCTGGCAGGAAGTCCATGAGATTATTATATCCAGTGAACTACTCAGAAAAACCTGGAAATGGCACTGTGGCTCAAGTGATAGAGTAGTAGTCTTGAGTAAAGAAACTCAAGGACAGTGCCCAGGCCCTGAGTTCAAGCCCCAGGAACAGAGCGCGCGTGTGTGTGCGCGCACGCACACACACACACACACACACACACACAAAAACTACCTTGTTTGTATTTTATTATTTAGGGAGGAGTTAATATTGCTTCCATTGTTTTTTAAAAATTTCCTTCAATGGAGTTTGAAGTAGCAATCAAGAAATTAAATGGTGTACTTGGGAAGTTAGGACTTGAGTTTGAGTGGTGGTGATGAGAGCCATGAAAACAGGTTGAGTATTTATCAGAAATGTTTGGGCCTACTCAAGTTGGTTCACTACTGTAATCCCAGCACTCAGCAGGCTAAAGTAGAATTGTGAGTTTGAGACCAACTTGGGCTATACTCTGCCTCAAAAAATGCCAGGTATTGTTGTCACTGTATTTGATTTTGGTACTCTCGGTATTGTATATACATTTATCTGAACTAGGGAAGGGAAGGGGAACAACAAAATGGTGAGACAGAGGACAAAGGGGGAACCAATTCAACAATGATACTCATAAGACAGTATGTTGGAAATGATCTGTACAACTTGGTGGAGGGGATTGAGGGGAGGGAAAGGGAGAAAAATGAGGGAGGAAGTAACATGTTAGACAAGAAATGTATTCACTACCTTACTTATGAAACTGTGACTTCTCTGTACATCACCATGACAATAAAATTAAAATTTAAAAAATGCCAGGCTTGATGGTTCAAGCCTAAAAGCCCAGATACTTGAGAAGCAGAAATTGGGAGAACTTTGGTTAGAGGCCAGCCCAGGGAGGAAGTTGGCAAAATTCCACCTCAACAGAACAAGCTGGGTGTGGTGTTATACATCTGTAATACCACTAAGCAGAAGGCATAGGTAGGAGGATTGCAGTTTGATGCTGGCTTAAGTCAAAACAGAGGTCCCCATTTAAAAAATAGCTAAAGCAAAAAAGAGCTGGGGTGTGATTGAAATAGTAGAGTACCTGGCTAGTAAGCTCAAAGCATTGAGTTCAAACCCTCGTACTGCCAATTTTTTTTAAGATCAACTGGAAACTGGTGGCACATGCCTGTAATTCTAGCTACTCAGGAGGCTGAGATCTGAGGATCACAGTTTGAAACCAGCCCAGACAGTCCATGAGACTTATCTCTAGTAAACTTCTCAGAAAATAATGGCTGGAAGTAGTACAGTGGTATTGTGTCTCAAGTGGTAGAGCGCTAACCTTGAGCAAAAGAAGATCAGGTACAGCATCCAGACCCAGACCAGCATCCAGGACCAGCAAAAAAAATCATATTACAAGAATTATTCTTTTGTTGAAAAAGAAAAGAAAAAAAACAGATTAGGGATTTGGCTCACTGGCAGAAGGTATGCCTAACATGCAGAAAGGCCCTGGGTTTGATTTCTAGCACCACAAAAAGTAAATTAATAAAAAAATAAAAAGAAGGAAGCATAATCCATGAAAGGACTTGGGATATGGTTCATGTGACCCTAGGTACCCTCCTGTAGCTTTTATTCCCAAGGCAGGAACTCTACCATTTGAGCCACAACTCCACTTGGACATTAATTAGAGATTGATTGAAGCCGCAGCTCCACTTTCAATGTGGATTTTTTTATTTGCAGCATTTTTATTGATGTTCAAAATGTATCAGCCATGCTGGATCCTGGTGGCTCATGCTTGTAATCCTAGCTACGCAGGAGGCTGATATCTGAGGATCTTGGTTGAAAGCCAGGCTAGGGCAGTAAAATCCTTGAGACTTTTTTTGGGGTGGGAGGGGCTGGGGCTTGAGCTTAGAGCCTGAGTGCTGTCCCTGAGCTTTTTGTGCTTGAGGCTAGCTATCTCTCTACCACTTGATCTATAGCACCACTTCTGGCTTTTTCTGAGGAGTTTATTGGAGATAAGAGTCTCATGGCCTTTTCTGCCTGGGCTGGCTTCAAACCGCGATCCTTCTGAGTAGTTAAGATTACAGGCAGAAGGGCTGGGAAGGTGGCTCAGTGGTAGAGTGTTTGCCTTGCATACATGAGGCCCTGGGTTTGATTCCTCAGTATCACATAAGCAGAAAAAGCCAGAAGTGGTGCTGTGGTTCAAGTGGTAGAGCACTAGCCTTGAACTGAAGAGCTGAGGGACAGTACCCAGGCCCAGAGTTCAGGGCCCACGACCAACCAAAAAATTGATTTAAGCTATAGGGCTGACATGTGTAGCTACTTAGGAGGCTGAGATCTAAGTATCACAGCTCAAAGCCAGACAGGATGCCAGTGGCTCATGCCTATAATCTTAGCCATTCAAGAGGCTGATATCTGAACATTGAGGTTTGAAGCTAGCCTAGGCAGGAAAGTCGGTGAGACTTTTATGTCCAATTAACCACTGAAAAGCCAGAAATGGCAATGTGGCTCAAGTGGTAGAGTGCCAGCCATGAGTGAAACTTAAAAAAAAACAAACTAAGAGTTCAAGCCTAGTTCCAGAACACACACAAAAAGTTGTGACATCCAGACTCATTAAATCCATTGAGACACAAACTACAATAGAGGTTACCAGGAGATTGGGGACAGGAAATTCTTATTTCTTGGACACAAAGTTGATGAAAATGTTCTCGAAATGGATAGTGGTGATGGTTGGGCAGCCTTGCAAGTATATTGGAGGCTATTGGGACCACACACTTCAAAATTATTCCAATGGAAAACATTATTGTGTGCACTTATCAAAATAAAACAGGAAAGCTGGGAGGGCATTTAGGACATTGAGGTAAGCCCACTATTTTTTTTCTTTCTGCCCAGGAGCCATGGATAACAGAGGCTTTCAGCAAGGGAGTTTTAGTAGCTTCCAGAGTAGCTCCAGTGATGAAGATTTGATGGATATACCTGGGACAGCAATGGATTTCTCCATGAGAGATGATGTTCCTCCCTTGGATCGAGAAATAGAAGGTATTTGAAAGGAATCCTTTACATTCATCCCAGGGGACCATGCAGAGGCAAGCAGGTACAGGAGAAAGATTATTATAAGGTTTATTAGTGGAGCCATATTTCCCAGGAGAGGGAGCACATGGCATCTGCTCCTATCCAGGTAGCAGGAGGGTCTGGGGGCAGGAAGTGAGGTAGAATTGTGCTCAGGTGGGTTTGGGTGGACAGAGGGAGTGGCCAGCTGATTGGTGGGAACTCTAGGGCTGAGAGGATCTCAGGTCTTGGTGGAGCTGAGGACCAAAGGTGGGCATAATACTAACATTCCCTGCTTTGTTGTTTAATAAACATAAGGGTACCAGGCGGGGCGGGGGGGGGGGGGGTAATAGGTGGAGGCCGTTTCTTCCGAAGCTACTTCAGAAGTAGTCAGGAGTCCCAGATTTGTTGCTTGGCTGGGTACCATCCAAGAAGCATCTGCTTGACAGTTTGGTTGGTAAAGGTCCTCATCTTTTCCATTACAATAGTTATCTAAAATGCAAGACACAATTAATAAAAGGCAAAAAGTTGCTGTTAGCAACTTAAGAGAGGAATATGCTATGGAGGGATTGATTCCCAGAAGGGGCTATCAAAGACCTGAAATTGCCTTTTCTGTCTCGGATTGGAGACATAGCATGGTACCTGACTCCTGGCATCCTGTAGGGAGGAGTAAGACTGTTCCCACTTTAGGATCACAATGTTCTGAGGAGGAGGTAGCAAAGATATTTAAAGGTACCAGAGCCAATAGGTGTCTTGGGCTCTTTTGACTACGTCCTGCTGGCCTGGGACATTGAGAAGTCCCTGGAGCTGGGATCTTTAGGGTCCAGGTCTGCACTGGGCAAGGCAGTGTAAGTGAAGTCTCTGGTTGCCTATAGTAACAGAATAGCCTTGACTTGTTCCTAGGTGGTGTCCTGGGTGGGGGGGGGGGGGCATTACTCTGTTAAATGAAACTTTTGATACAATGGAACTCTATGCCTCCATCAGAAAGAATGACATCACCCCATTTGTTAGGAAATAGAAAGACTTGGAAAAAATTATATTAAGGGAAGTAAGCCAGATCCAAAGAAACATAGGTCCCATGGTTTCCCTCATTTGCAATAACTAGTATATGTTTAGGACAAGCAGAAAAGGTCAAAAGCTATGTACATGTGACCATATAAGTTGATGTTAAGTGAAATAAATCACAAGATAGGGACACAAGTGGTTTTTTCTTTCTTGCTATTGTTTTTAATGTATTTATAATGTACTATGTGATTTTTTGTTTCTTTGGTATCTTCTTCCCCTACGGTATAACCCTTGTTTTCACTGTATTTTATTCTGGTGCCCTACATTTTTCTAATTTGGGGAGGGGAAGGGAAATGACAAAATGCTTAAATAAGGATACAGGTTGACCCGTTGAAACAATGAGATGTACAAGATACTATGGTGAAAACAAACTTTACAACTTAGGGGGATGGGTGGGAAGAGTTGGAGAGGGAAGGGATGGCAGGGAAAAAATAAAGGAGGAAGAGGTAACAAGGCTCAATAGGAAATGTACTCATTACCTTACTCATGTCACCGTAACCCCTCTGTACAATATTTTTACAATAAAACACACAAACACACACACAGACACACACATATAAAGAAACTTTTGGAAAGGTCAGGCAAAAAAGCTGACAAGGTGACAAGGTCACCAAAGGTGGGCATAACACTAACAATTATTACTAATGGTCATTTCTTTAAAAAATTAATTTATGTAAAGTAAAAATTTATTTTCTCCATACAGTCCTTTGAGGGTTTTTTTGGGGGGGAGGGGGTTGCTGGTCCTGGAGTGTTGGGTCTTCGTCCGTCTCAGGAAAGATGGACGGGGTCCGAGGAAAGGTAAGTGCGGCGCTCGCCCGCCTGTATCCCAGCCTCCCTCAGCCAGAGAGACAATCAGACACATAGGAGAGCCAAATCAAGCAGGAAGAAAACTCGTTTATTAACAGAGAGCAGCCCTTTTTAAAGCCAAAAAGGGCAGGGGGGGAAGAGGAATCAATCACTGTCAAGGTCACATCCTATCATGCACCTAAGCTTCCGCGGGCTGGTTCTCTCTCTGTGCCATCTTTGCTGCCTGTGTTCCCCACACTGGAGCTTAAACTCAGGACCTAGGTACTGTCCCTGAGCTATTTTTCTCAATGCTAGCTTTCTACCATTTGAGTCACAGCTCTACTTCCAGCTTTTTGGTGCTTAATTCAAGATAGGAATTCATGGACTTTCCTGCCTCAGTTGGCTTCAAACCATGATCATCAGATCTTAATCTCCCAAGCAGCTAGAATTGTAGGTGTGAGCCATCAGTGTCTGGCTCCTTTGAGTTTTAACACATTGCTCAATTCTTGTAATCATTGCCACAGACAGGTCACAGAACAGTCCAACTACATGAAGAATTCCCTCTGGTTATTCTTTCATGATCAGCCCTCCCTCCTTCCTCATCCCTGGTATCACTGACCTGTCCTCTGTCCTTGTAGTTTTATGCTTCATGAGGATGATGTCATATTCATGGAATCATGTCAGGTTTTGAGGCTGACTTCTTTTATTCTTGGAGATTTATCATTTTCTTGCTGAGTAGCATACCCAGGAGTCGAATCCCTGGGCCAGTTGATAAATGTATAATTTACTTTTTTTTTTTTTTTTTTGGGTCCGTTGTGGGGTCTGAACTCTGGGCCTGGGCGCTGTCCCTCAGCTCTTCAGCTCAAGGCTAGCACTCTACTGTTTGAGCCACAGCACCACTTCTGGCTTTTTCTTCTTATGTGGTGCTGAGGAATCAAATCCAGGGCCTCATGCATGCAAGGCAAGCATTCTACCACTGAGCCTCCTTCGCAGCCCCTATATTTACTTTTTGTTAAGAAGTTACTCGTTTAGCTTGGTGGTTGGATACTAGCTTAGTATGTGCTTTGGTGAAATATATGTTCAAATCCTGTTCATCCACCTTTTTGTGCTGATCCTTTGGACTTGAACTCAGTGCATGAGTGCTGCCCGTGAGCTTTTGTGCTCAAGGCTAGCATGCTGCCACTTGAGCCACAGACCCACTTCTGGTTTTTAGTGGTAAATTGGATATAAAATGGACTGGCTTTGAATTGACATCCTCAGATCTCAGCCTCTTAAGTAGCTAGGATTATAGACAAGAGCTACCAGTGCCCAGCTATATCCCCTTTTTGTAATTAGTATATTATTGGCAAGAATATATGTATAAGGTGAAAATTTACCTCTTTGTTTGGTTATCCACTTATGTTCCAACTCTAGCACTGCAAGACCAAAAATTTAAACTGCCAAACCACTTGCCAGAGCATATGAGCAATTTTAGTGTGCATGAGAGTTCTATTTATTCCACACCCTCAAAGAGCTCTTGACATTTTCAGTAATTTTTGTGTGTGTGTGCTAACCTTGGGGCTTGAACTTGGGGCCTGGGCACTGTCACTGAGCTTCTTTTGCTCAAAGCTATCACTTGAGTCACAGCTCCACTTCTGGCTTTTATTGGTTAATTGGAGATAAAAATCTCACAGCCTTTCTTTCCTGGGCTGGCTTTGAGCCACAACCCTCATATCTTAGCCTCCTGAGTAGCTAGGATAATATGAATGAGTCACCTGACCCCTGAAGTAATGTTTATTTTAGCTATCTTAACAAGTATATAGTATTATATTATCATGATTTCAGTTTAATTTCCTTAATGTCTAGTGATATTGACCATCACATTGTGCTGATTTGCCAGTCTTATAACTTCTTTTGATGAAATATCTGTTCAAATCCTATTCCCTTTTTATAATTGAAATTTTATTGACAAGAGTACACGTGTGTGTGTGTGTGTGTGCATATGGTGGAAAACCTCATTGGTTGTTTGATTACCCACTTATATCATTTTTTTCACTGACTACAATGTCATGTTATGATTGTACCACAGTTCACTTAACCAAGTTTTATTGATACACATTTGAGTTGCTTCACATTATTTGCTATTGCAAACCATAGTGCAATAAACAACCTTGTATATAAATATATGTATATAGGTATACACAAACACACATGTACAACATGTATGTTCACTCATGCACATACATGTGTATGTATATATATATATATATATATATATACCTATATACATGTATACACATATATGTATAAAATATATCTACTTTTTAGGCACATGAAGTTTAACATAGTTTCAAGCCCTGTATTGGCACACACAAACTTCAGTTTACTAAATTGTTCAAGTTTAGCAAGGGTATCATTCTCTTCTGGTGTTTTTAATGACTTGTTACACTTAGAATGGACTGTGTTATTTTAATATTAAATTTGTATAATTACTATAAGATTAGAGCTGGAAGGCTGGGAAGGTGGCTCAGTGGTAGAGTACTTGCCTCACGTGAATGAGGCCCTGGGTTCGATTCCTCAGCACCACATAAACAGAAAAAGCTGGAATTGGCTCTGTGGCTCAAGTGGTAGAGCGCTAGCCTTGAGCTGAAGAGCTGAGGGACAGCACCCAGGCCCAGAGTTCAAGCCTCAGGAGCAGCAAAAAAAAAAAAAAAAAAGATTAGAGCTGGCGGTATGACTCAAGTGGTAGAACTCAGCTGAGTAAGCAAACCTGAGCAAGTATAAAACCCTGAGTTAAACTTCAGTACTGGCAAAAGAAAACAAAAGTGGGGAAACAGTGACTGTAATCCTAGGTACTGTGGAGGCTGATACCTGGAGGAACATGAATTGAAACCAGGCTGGGTAGAAAAGTGCATGAGATTCTATCTCCAATTAACCAGAAAATATGCCAGTCTGGAGATGTGGCTTAAGTAGTAGAGCTTTGTGGAAAAATAACTATGCAAGTGTGTGGGACCTTGAGATCAAGCTCCAGTACCAGCACTCACAAAAAGCATAGTATTTATATAGAACCTACATAGGACTTCCTACCTATTTTAAATAATCTCTGAATTGCTTGTAATATCCAATACAAAGTAAATGTCATGTAACTAGTTGTTACTTTT